GACAGGGTCAGTGAACCCCGTCACACAATCAACTGTCATGCAAACCACAAACCAAATGACCACCATGAGCACCATGACCACTGGGAATGCATCGGATATCAACAACATACAACATTGTCTCCTTGTACTATATTCTAGTATTGGGGACTCACAGTAAGTTTTAAAAAAGAACGAAAATAAAATTTAATAATAGAATTGTATACTTTAAAAAATGTGAGAACATATTTCTTAGTACAATAAACAGACGCATGATTAATATAGTTTGAATTTTGCATGCTGTAGACACCTAAGTTAGCTGGTACAATCAGGTGTAAGGATTTTCTTAGCAAATACTGATTTGAAAATTATATATCAAATTGGAAGAATATTTTGAAATAAAATATTCAATACTTTAATTGAAGTTTTTATTTTTTTTCCTCTAGACTTCAACCAAGAACATTGTACATCTTTTTCTGTATTGTTTATTAGTCCAATTATTCCTAATTATTCTTAATTTTCTTTTGTTTCTTTTCATAGAATACGATATTGGGATTTAGCGCTTTTGATTCCCAATATGCTGTTTTTAATTTTCCTGATTGTGAAAGCAAAAGCTGCCATTGTCAAACTGAGGCAGACAACCAGTCCGATTTTTGTTACATTCTATATAACAGTGAGTAAAGACAGTTTCATTTGATTTTAACCGTATACCAAATAATATTTTTCTTTTTACACTAGCTGTAGTAATTACAACTTTATCGTTAATAGCCATGTTTAGACGACCGTTTGTTATTAAGATAACTAACACTGATCATCTCCAGTTGAGCTTCTATTCCGATAAATACATCAGTTGTATGTGATTACATCTGACCTGAAAAAACCGTGTGCACTGCTGCTTGAAACCCTTTGTCAAAAAAGTTTAAAAATGTATGTAATTGATAAAATGATGGTTATCTCTTAAGATGTGTACTACCTACTGCTGTGCAAACTTGAGTCAAGAGGTAGCCTATGTCCGGTCAAAAGTTGCATTGTGTTACTGTATTGTACTAATTGTGGCAAAAACACAGATAGGCCCCTACCCTACTCAACCCAACAAAACACATCTCTATTGTCTCAAAGTTTGTGTGTTAAACTGGGCCTAACATACACTACTTTGATGTCTCAGTACAGATTATTAGTCCCTCCTTAGTAATTAAGTACTAGAATAAGTCTTGAAGGTATTTTTAAGTTTTTCAACACCATATAACTTATGCTAAAATTTCAATTGATGGTATATTTTGGTTCTGAAAAGAACCATCTGGATTGTAATGTCCCAACGTTTCAGTTAGTAGTATAGGCCTATGCTAATCATTTAGGCCTGGGCACGCCTAGTTCTGCACTACCTTGCTCCAAACACAGACCAGTCAAGGGTCTCACATTGGCTTGCTTGAGATTACTTCTGGATTTGCTTGAGATTGAGCATTTTTTGAAAATTATGTGTGAGGTCACAAACCTTTAGGGAAAAAAAGTAAAGCGTCACTATAACATATACCTTTACAGTGAATACATTGATACAAAGTGCCACTTTGATATCCCATAGTTTTCTTCAGTTTCTGCTGAGACGGCGTCAAACACTGATGATCGCTATGGGATCACTAATGCCTATAGTCGTGTTTGTATATATTGTATGCTGGTTTTAAGATATAGCACATTTAAAAAATATAATTTATAGAAATTCTGGAATGCGTGAGAATATATAGGCCTTGTGTGAGGGTGTGAGGTCAAAGTCAAATGCATGAGACTCCTGCGAGATACGTGAGATTTGACAGGTCTGCAAACACCTGTGAAAATTAGCATGGTGCAAACTGATTGTTCTATTTAATAGAAATTTTAAACCCGGAGTCCCCTTTAACACCACTATCATCAGATAAATGCCTTCATGATGATGATGATCTTCTATTATTAGAATTATGCTATTACTTTCTTTTACGAAGTGTGAGCTGTCATGACAAAGTAAGTCTTGTGGAATGAAAAATGAGTTTTTGATATAGAAGAATATATAAAAGATTTATTTTGGTGTTTAAATCATGTTCCTAGGTTGAGTAAAACTGGAGTAAGATAATTTCAAAGTTCAGATGTCTAGAAACATACTTAAGAGAAAATCGCCTCTAAAGATACACAACTAATAAGTTTTGTGTTGGGTTTCCTATTAATTTTGAAAAATAGCTTTACAAAATGTGCCTCAAAAACATGATTACATTAGGTAACTCAACTCGGAACTTTTGCTACTATGAAATATACATATTAAACTTATCAAAAAAATTGAAACCCAATTTTTATCAAACCATCACTTCAGATATATTTTCTTGAATATCAAATTGACTGGTGTACCACCTGGTTCTTTCTTCTTTTCAATTCTAGGTGTTTACAATTGCAGTAATCAGCGTAGTAAGGGGAGTTGTCTCAATGATGGTTGCGTCATCCACAAGGGCTGGTGATATAGTTGATACTGTAAGAATATGAATCATCACCCTTCTTCATTTCCAATGTGTTGCTTGTGGTACTGATATGGGCATTTATTATGCGCTATTTCCTTGCAGTTGTAGCTGAGGGAAAAACTCAGGCAGTGTGTACTGCAGTATTAAACACAAAATCATGAGCACCACAATTATATTGTCAAAACAATTAACAAAAAGCACAACACAAAACATACAACAGACACACCAATAAAAAAATAAAATTGGAGGTGCTAGGCAATATTATCCACCATCTTTTAATTGTTCTGTTATTCTTTAATTTAATTTAAAAAAAAACATCAAAAATCGCAGGTTAAGGGCTGAATTGCACAATATTTACAATATAGAGTAAACAGTTATATATAGAAATGCGAACATTAATTTATTACTAGATGAACATCTAAAGATGTTTTCATTGAATTGTATATCAACATTATTTCTAGGCTCTTTGGTTGATCCTGAAGTTCTTTCTACTTGGAGCTGAGCTGAGTGTTCTGACCTTTGGCCTTGCATTTGGACACCTTGACAGTAACTCAAGCATCAAGAGAGTTCTTCTGGTGACAGCCTTCATCTCCTTAGCATACTCAACCTCACAGGTAAGGCGTTTGTCTGGTCATAGCCAAACCTTTTAAACACAAAGACCCTCCACTGTGTCAGTGGCATATCTAGGAGTTGCGTGGGCCTAATATAGAGGTCACAAAAGTGAAGTGGGAGGGCTTGATCAGGCCCGTAGCCAGGTCATTTCAAGGGGGGGTTCTCTGGGCGTGGGGTCCAGGGGCCTGCCTAAGGGCCACGGTGGGGTCGTACTTCTGAAGCTGACATATCCTATGAATGTAGGCTTGTAATGCATGCTACAATTTAAAAACGGGTGGGACTCATTCAAAAATTCGAGGGGGTTCGCTAGAAAACAGGGGGGTTCGCTAGAAAAGGGGGATTCGCCCGAACCATAAAAACCCCCCTGGCTACGGGCCTGTTGATGATTGGTTAAGGGAATTTAACTTGCAAAACAAGGTGATATGGGGGTGAATTTTAAATACTTGGACATTTTTCTGCTTCAAACATTTTCGATAATGGGAGTGGGGGAAAAAGAGAGGAGGGGGAAGCTTATATTTGATTTGGAGTTTTTCGTAATTTTACTTTGTATTTTCATTGCAGGGAGTCCTGGAGGTGAGATATCCAGATTCACATTTTGATAATGATAATCCAAAGGTTGAGTTTGACGTTTTTGCTCATGGTGGCACTATATTCTTCTTCACAAGTTCACTTGTCTTTTTCTTGGTATGTTATCAGAATCAAAATCAAATTTATTTGTCCTCCCAGAAATTACAATGAAACACAAGGTTATATACTTTCACAATGAAATCACATTTGGTCTAAAACAGACAACTAAATAGATCGTTGTCCAGTTATTATAATGATAAATTGCATTCCCAAATATTTCTGTAGGGACATTGGATATGTTTGTTGTTTTGTTAAGAGGTGACAAGACAATTCATTGAATGTGAAAACCTTTACATGAATAAATTTAAATTGGAAAAGTGATATGTTTGGTTTTCATTTCAGATATATTCAGTGGTGCTAATTTTACCTTGTACAAGATTAAGGAACTCAATACAACTACCATGTAAGTATCCATACATTGCATTTGCAGACCATCAATCATTAATTTAAGTATAAAAATGAAAATGTATTCTTTAAATGTTCAAGTAAATCTGGAAACAAATATTTTGATATAAGACACTTAGCATCACTTAAGATGTGGAATGATGTGAACATATTATATACGCACCTCTTTACGGCTACTACTGTATGTTGTCACGGACCTGGTCCATACGCAATTCAGCACAATCACCCTGCAAGTTAAGGGTTATTCTCCTACCTTACCATAGGATGTTACATAAATGTTTATTTTTGCAGCCAAACGTTCCTTCTATTACTACTGTACTTGCCTGTCGGTCCTCAATGGTATACAAGCCATTGGATGTGCAATATTACACTATAACATAACACAGGGTCTTTGGTGAGTTTCTCTTCTATTTATTCTATAATTGTAATTTATTCTATAATTGTCCATTAGTTCAGTCCAGTCATCCATCTGATACCTTTATTTGAAAGTCCACAATGAGTAATTGATTATTACACCATCTTACCCTCTTGATCTTCATATAAGTTTGGATGTGTGTTTTCAAGGTCTTGCTTCGTTAATATTTACAACCACAGCCTAAAAATTCTGACATTGTCCATATGATGTTTGCTGCCCTCTAAGTCCATTTTAAGAAAATTTGTTTTAATCTTATTAATTAGTGAATTTTATAGAAATATTGTATTGTATGTTAATTACTTTTATATCATTATTTTTTTATTATTATTTTTCTTGCTGTAGAACTGATTTATCGATAATAAATTAGGCACAATGGATGTAAACTTACTACAGCTATAATAAGCGAATCAGATGAAACTATTTGCATTTTATTGTTCTTCTTGTCAGTGTTTTATAGTCTATTGAAATTTTATTGTTGTTTTTCTTGTTCTTTATTGTCTTGATTTATTTCAGCATAATTGATGTAACTTCTTACCTGTACTTCACTTGTTTTGCTCCGCTTGTGTACCTTACATTCCTCCACAACTTCTTAAGGTAAGAACACTATTTTTATTATGCAAATTAACCAATTATACTATAGTGTGTACTCAAGCAATCATCATTAAAGCTGGATGAAAAGATTTATAACAAGAGTGCATCTCACTGCTTGGTGGAAATGTCACTCAATGTCTCGTGAGTTTGATACCACCAATCCCCTCATTGTAGTGCTGTCATTCATAACTTGCGTCAATCTGCCAACTGATTCGTACTTGAGTGCACAAACTATAGTAATTCTGTAAATAACTCAAAGCATTAAGACTAGTGTACAATACAGTGTGACTTTGGATACAGCATTCCATTGTATATAAATCCCTGCAGTATCTATAATTACCAGGATTGTCATGCCCATGCCAAAAGAAATGTTTACCATTATTATAAAAATAAACGGCAATACTGTTTATAAACATAAATAAGATAACCAATTAACAGTTATAATAATTTTCATTAAATTTCTACACAATCACTTGTATTTTGTTATAGTTATTCATTCTAGGGTTTTTTTCATACTAAATGTTATTGTATATTATTGTATTTTATAATTTAAGTAATGGTTTTGAACGTTTTCGCTCATTGGCGATTTGATTGGCCGAGCGGTTAAGTCAGGGGCACCGTGACCTTCAGCTCTAATATCGGCGTTGGTTCGAACGGCTCACTCGCCAATGGTTCCGGTGGTGGAACAAGTCTTCTCGGATAAAGACTTTAAACCGTAGGCCCAGTGTACGCATTTGGCTTGTGTGCACTTTAAAGAACCCGGTACATCATTCGAGAAGAGTAGGGGGTTACCCCGGTGTACTGGTCCATTAAGTCCCCTGTTGTTAAATGGATATGCCACGTAGGACAGTGATTAAGTTCACTTATTGGCATATCCTTGGCCCTCGTGCCTAAAGAAATGAAATGAAAAATGAAATGAAATTTGTAACACTTTTAAATGTAAGATAATAATACTACATTACATTCATAATAGAATTTGATATGCGTAGTACACAATAATTTGTTTTGACTAGGACAAACCTGTATGTTCACACTTGAATAAATATGATTATTAAACCCTCTTATAGAAGTCCGCAGCCAGCCCTTCTCTTTTCCTACAAGCCTCAGATTGACGAAGTTGACGATGAAACACACACATTTCCTCGAACGATTACCAGAGTTGCCGAATCACCCATCAACATCATGTATGAAAGTACAGAGTTTGCAGGACATAGCAACCCCAATAGCTATCTCAGTGACCAAACTTATAGTCTGAATGCTGGTACAGAAAAGCAGAGTCCGGATGCATAATATTTTAGAATGTGCAAAACTTGAGAAGAATTTTCCAAAATGATACTGCATGTGTTGCGATGGATTTATAACAGAATATTTTCATATACGTTACCAGAGATTAAATCTACTTTTTTAAAAATATGATGTCAATATGTTGAGAATTTTTTTTTTTATATTCTCAGCAATATGTACAAGAATATATGTACCTTATGTTTATGTACTATATGTACTCTTTGTTAAAAAGGTTCATTATTGTTTATGTGGTTGTTAAATGTAAAATATATTTTACACATATATTCTTTGCTAATCAGCATTATCATTATACAAACTAAGCAATTAAATAGTAATGTTTATTATGTGAATAACATCAAATCAGCAGTTTTTATTTAAAAAGTTGAAAACTTTTGTGATGCTTTGAAGTCAGCAATTGCTGGTTATGTAAAAGTAACATGATAAAGAGCCCTGGATGTTTTATTTTAACTGGTATAGAAGTATGAATGGGAAGTATATTTAAAAGTCCCTTTGAGAAGTATATTAATTAGTGTGTGTATGTCAGTGAGGTTCACGGACCAAATTCAAATAATTTTATGATATAAATATTTGAGGTTTTACTTGTTTGATAGTTGTACTTGATCTATCTAAAAGAGTCGAAATTAATTAAATCAAAGTTTATTTATAAGACCATTGATTTTTTTTATCAAAAAATATGAAAATTCCAAAAATTTAGACAAATATTTTTTAAACTAACAAAGTTTATGGTTCACTGAATTGTTGTTTACCCAGTAGTAATGAGAAAACTTTACAATTTCTTTCACTGCGGTTGCTCAAAGAAACAAATATTTTCATTTCATTGCATTCAGACAAGTGAATGCATAGAGTGTAAACTTATTAAAAGCTTTGTTAGCAACTAATGAGGCTTGTCAACTTCAGTTACATTGCCATTTTATCCAAAGAAGTATTAAATTATAGTCTTGTGGTGTAATCACAAAATTCAATTACACTATTAAAAAATCTACAGGTATTTGGCTTCTTTCGTATTCTGTTACTTTCGCTATTGCAAAAAGTAGTAACTAGTGAAATAGATTGCACTGGATTTATTTTAGAGATTAATATTTTGAAGATGCAATAGTACTTATACTGGGTTATCTGAGTAGGTGAATCACTTTAAATACTTATGATATCGTAACTGTTGAAAGGGACTTTTCCAAATAATAATACAGTATAACTAAATACACTTCTTTGGAATGTGATAGACTCACTGAAAAACTTTATTCATGTTATGTGTTAAAATTGATTACTATTGGAGTAACGTACCAGTGTTCATTTACTGTAAACACAAATAAGCTTTTTAATAGAAACTGATAAACTGTTTTTACTATTACACTGGGATGGTAATGTTCATTTATTACATATACAATCATACTGTAACAGATGAAATAATATTACTATTTAGGTAAGTTCTACTTCTACCATGGGGTTGATATTAGATTTGTGTTTTAGCGATGAAATAGTATTAATATTCTTTGCAATGACGAGAGAAAATGGAGTACTGGTTGCACTCTATATTTTGAGTACAATAGTATAAGAGATGAAATAGTTCACTACTATGACAGAATGTGTGTGTTAATGAAATAATGAACTATAAAATTCATTAAAGAACATTTTTCAGCGATCTGTTGTGAAGATCTCAGAGATCTCACTGAAAAAATAGGCCCGATTCGTTCGTATTACTGTATATAAATGTTATTGCAAAGTATATAAGTTTATATTGCAATACTCTTTAACATGTCAACATATTTGTATATAGCTGCATAAAAAAATTAAACGCTTTATTGAGCTTGTAAATAATGAGGGAAAAGGGAGTTATCGGAAACAATATAAACAGATGTATGTATATTAATAAAGATAAAACATTTCTTAATGTACCTTATTTGTATTTTGCTTTGTAAGAAAAAAAAATATTGTTTCGTATATTGCAGACGATCCTTACTGAGCACTAAGCATTAGTTCGAGAAAGGAAAAATGAGCTCTGAATCAGTTAACATGATATCCGTTCTTATTAGAATTACGAATACGATTTATGATTCTCGTAAAACAGACACGCGGTCGATGAGAGAGTTCACTGCATGAACAAAATGTCGAGATTTTTATACAAATGTAAAATCTGTCAATTTGTCTTTAACAAAAGACTTCAAAGAGTTATAGTGATTCATTTGCTTTACTGTCTTCCCCCTTCCCCACCCACGACCATTTTGCTGTATTGTTAACGTCAACAAATAAACGAAAGGAAATAAAGTGACATCTCGTTTTGTCTTATTACAAAATCCATGATGTATCAGTTATTATAAAAACCTCGGTAAATCCTTGCGATATTTCGCTTTTGATGAAGCGTCGAAGACTAGTTCGGAAGGTTGAAGGGATGATCATGATGGAGGAGAGGAGGACCTTTCCAGCAAACACAAAACGTCCTTATAACGTTCGCAGTAACGTTTGGTGTGTAAAAAAATAACATTCGCACAACTTTGTAAGAACGTTCGAAGGTTGTGAAATTAGGTTATAAGTACGTATATGGTTCTACAAAATACCGTTTTTATCACCAAACTGTGACGTTATAACGTTCTTGTAACGTAATATTTAGTTGGGGTAGGACGAGGAAGAAGAAAATTATTATTTTTAATGGTGCGGGTGGTCAAATGGCTAATACTTCGTGAAATGTTTGATGAAATAGGTTGAAATGGCGGTAGTGATGACGATGACAATTACAAAAACGATAAGAATACTACTGTTACGTCATCAAAATTGTTTGCCAAACTATCCCCTAACATAGCACATCTGTCACAATGTTGGTCGGCCGTCCCTGCCTTTTATATGAATTAGCGATCAGGTTCAGCTTGTATATGTATTGCAAAGAATGTTTTAGTCAAGAAGGGCGATATTATAATAAAGAAAACGACGTAATTTGTGTTCGTTATGTTTTCGTAAGCTTGCTCAAAGCTCGTGACATGATATAAAGACGATGGTAAGATGATGACAATATTCCAGTAGATAATTATGTACTAAATCATTATTTAATATAAAATATTCACAATCAGTAGCTATACCAAAGTTATTCTAAGACAAATTATATTACATTATTATTAATAATACCAATACGACCCGCGTAGTATTCTATATAGGTATTTCTTTCGAAGAGCCGCATTAATATGCATGACGTAATTAATCGTCATAATTGATGCAAAATATATAAGACGTTTGCAGCCCTGATACAAGTCCTGGTACTAATCCAATCATGGGCCCTAATTCATAGTAATGATTAAAACTTTAATATAAAAAAAAGGTATAGGCCTAGTTAGTCTATTTGCCATGGATAGCCCGACTGCAATGCCTAGACATTACAAAATGTGTTTCTAGAAAAAAAATATCTTTAGGTCTGATTAAACTACCAAAAGTTAAACTTACACATTAATTTTCGTCTTAAGAACAATGCATAATAAGGCTTAATCAAAAACTGTAGTCTACGGGCCTGGTATGGGTCGTAG